ATATATGGGGGAGGAGGGGGAGAGAGAATGAATTAAAAATTACTTTCTTCCACTTAACAAACACTTGTTGGGTGCCTGTTTCATGTAGAATTATATTCACTATTATAAAAGACATAAGACATGTATATGATATATTACCCACTCACAGGACTGCTTTAATCAGTTAAAGGAGTTATGTCAGTTTAAATAAATGACAGTTGGTATCAAACCCTAGCTCATTGTTGAGTGTATCTTAAGGATTACATAGCTCTTCATAATGTTATTGTTGTCCAAGCCTATTGTCCAAGAATTGGTGACTAAAAGATGCCCCTCATACTAGACCACTCTAATTTCCTAGAGTAGAAAAAGACATTCTGTAAGAGAACTCTTAGGTGATGGATATGTGTATGGCATAGATTGTGGTGATTTTTTATGGGTGTATAATCTCCAAATTCCTCAGGTTGTATGCATTAAATACCTACAGCTTTTTATATGTCTCGCCCATGCCCTATGGAATCCTCCAGGTAGATACACTAATGTTCCTTGGGGAGCCAGGTCACGGTGAGGAGTTGATGTTCAAGAGTGGCTGCTGGGCCCTGTAGAGACATGGCCTCCAAGTGGCTAGTCTGTTTTTCTGAGGCATTTTCCTGGGTCTTGGAATCAAAGGCAAGCATATTTTTCTCACTGCATTTATGAGTAGAATTGTAAATGTTACGTCCTGCTCCACTAAGCAGTGGGAGGAGACAAGAAACGGTGCTGGGGTCACACGGGTGGCCAGTCTTCTCAGAGTTGAATTGCCACCCCTCCCTGCTAAGCATTTCTGTCACTCATGGTTCCAGCTGTACTCAGGGCCACCGACCATAATTTATTATCCAGCCTCTGGTTTGAATAAACTATAGATTTATTTGCAGTTTCTGAAGGCTCTAGGCAGGAGATGCAAACAGTAGCTTTCTCTAGGGAGGGCTGGATGTAATGGGACCCCTTCTCTTTTGCATCCTTGGGTTGTGATGGGGATCTCTAAGTGGAACATCTCCTCTCTCGGCCCCGATCTCTCCTCACTGGTCCAGTGAGACTGAGAGAAAGGATTCTGTCCTGAGTTCCCCTCTCTCCCTACTAGAAGGAAATAAAGCAAGAAGATCAGGATTTATTTTTTTGGAGAGAAGTTTTAATTGAATATTTGAGGTACACCCCTGATCCTACAGTACATAGACCTCCACTGAAGTATTTCCCACATTGTAATTTTTTAAAAAATATGTTTTTATTGATTTTTTTTAGAGAGAGTAAGTGAGAGGGAAAGACAGAGAGAGAAACATCAATGAGAAAGAAACATGAATGGGCTGCCTCCTGCACACCGCCCCCTACTGGGGATGGAGCCTGCAACCTGGGCGTGTGTCCTGACCGGGAATCAAACCAGCCGCCAAGGGTCCCCCAGACCTGATCCTCGGACAGCTCAGGAAGACTGTGCTCTGTTGCTTTCAGGGCTGACCCCCAAGGCCTGGCAGGAGCTCCAGGGCAGCGCTTCTCCCACCTGAGACTAGCCAAGTGTGTCTTCAGCACCCAGCACCTTCCCGCTTCCCGTTCCCAGTTCCTCCTGGTGGCCTTGCGCCCCACACCTCTGCGGAATGCTGCTGTTTTCTGCCTGAGCCTGCTCCTGCTGGGCCAAGTACCAGGCTCCACATGCTTCCATTCTCCTTCCCCCAGCAGAAACTTCTGACCGTGTAACATGCTTCCTCCCTACAGAAGACCCCAGAGATGAGCATTTCCCTCCAGCTTCCACCTCTCCAACCTAGGCAGCTCCGGCCCTGTCTCCAGGGGTCCAGAGGGCCCCCCCATCCTTCAAACAGTGAGGTTGGCTCCCCAGCTGTTCATCATTCCCCCTCCTCCCACGAACCAGCCTCTCTGAGTATGGGGGAAACCTCCACTCCTCCCTCCCCTCTCTGAGGACTGCGCCCGGCCGGAGGGGGGAAAGGGAGCGGGGCGGGAGGCTCCCTCTCTCAGCACCTCTCTTCCCTTCCTGCCTCTGCTGCTTCTGCTTTCTTCTGCCTTCCCCAAACTCAAGACCCGGTGGGTCGAACTTATAGGTTCCTCTCCCTTCTTCAGTAGATGCTCCTGCCCTAGGAGCTCAGAGTAAAGAAAGCCTGAGAACAATAAAAGAGAATTCCCGCAGGGTGTGCTCACGGGAAGCAGGAGCCGGGCTGGGGGCTCGGCGACGCCGTTATTGGAAGGGGGAGAGCGTGTTGGACTGCGGGACAGTCCGGTGGCCCTCCAGGCCCGGCCCTCAGCTCTGCCCTGGCTCCTAGCCTCGTCTTCATTTGCGAGGACCCCACCAGGTTTGAGACTCCAGCCCTCCCCCGGGGCCTCCCAGATGGGGATCCCTTGGCAACCAAGTCCCCTTAGCTGGTCACACGTCCAGCGTGACGTTGTAGGTGAAGGGATCCTTCACACCGTAACTTCCAACCTTTCTCGGGACGGGGTGTCACTTAGAGTTTGCGAAATGGATCCTTTAGGGTTTCTGACGTCTGTCTGAAGACAGCTCATTGGAAGGCAGGGGACACTGGCTCATTCTGGAAGTTAGGGGGGGTTTACAGAAAGAAAGGGGAGGGGAGGGA